TGCAAATGCATAGCAGGTTTAGGGCATACTATGGTTGCTGGGCAATGATGAGATGATGATGTTTGAGCTGATTGAGGCTAAAGGGTCAAAAAGAAATTTGAAAATGGAAATAATGGCTTGGATTTAAGCTACTTCAGAATAATTCAATAGGCATAAAGTATCCAGTATGGAATAGTTCCACTGCGTTACTTGTGCCATAGAAAAAATTTTCTTCGTGTAATTTTCTTCGTTGCTGATTTATGTTTCAGAACGAACCATAGCAAATTCTTTCTGTAACGAATAGTCTCTTAGGATTTGACCATACATTAATAATGTTACCCTGTTACCAGTGTTACCCGTGTTACTAGTATTACCGCTGCTGTTGAGTAGTGAAATGATCACCAATATATCACCAAACATTTCACTACTCAACGCCTATCAAAGCTAACACTAGTAACACGAGCAACACTTGTAACACGAGCAACACTGGTAACACTGGTAACAAGTAACACTAGTAACACGGGTAACATTAGTAATGTATGGTCAAAGCCTTGTGGTATTCTTCCCATAGCGTGACCGCTTCGCATGCCTTTCGCGCATATGCGACGCCTCTTGCGCGAAGGATGCAAACCTTGGTGCTTCTCTAGCAAAAGCCAAAGGCAGTAAGGGCTGCTACTTATGGGACGACATTATCCAGACTTTAGAACTTGAAAGCATGAAAAATCAATGAGTTGTGAACTTTCTATCAGGAATGAGGGAAGGTGTAAAGGGGACTTGCTTCTTTGCCAGGATTATGCCATGTTGTCTGGAATTGAGATCGTATATGAAATGAGTTGAATTTTCGTACAATGAGTCTAAATGGGTTCCTTTTTTGTACATCTGTTTTCGTGTGAGAAAGTTCAGTATGAATAAAGACTGGTATGGGTTTCCCGTTCAAAAATTATTCACACACATAAGCACTGGTGCACTTTTCCTTTCATCGCATGCAAATATTCTTTATTCTATGAAGTTGTTGTAGGAATCGATGTATATGAAACTGTTCTAGGGAGAATCTAATAACGGATCGATATCTACGATGTCAAATGGATGCGGATCAATTTGTGCCAATTTCAATCATTGCTGGCTTTCGTAAGATTGTTCAACTTACCAGCGACTATAAC